ACAATCATCTCAGCCACAGGTTGGCAAACCTTTCCTGTGGAGGACCAGAGAGTCAGTACTTCATGCTCTGTGGGTCGTGTGACCTCCACTGTGTGTGAAAGCAGACAGACAGATGTGATGGTAATCAGGCAACAGGAGGTATGTGGATGAGTAACCAATCAGAAATCAAGTTTCAGATTCTAGGCTGTTCCACGCTAGCTGTGTGACTCTGAGCCACTTACCTAACCTCTCTGTCTGAGGCTTCATGTCGGACTCATTCTCAGAATCTACATTTTCAGGAGACCACTAAAGAAGGCAACATTATACCTACTCTTCAGCAGAGTCCAGTGGCACACAGATGAGGTGTTAAGAAGAGCATCTCAGATCAAGCCGTGTCAATATCGTTGCCTTGGTCATTACCGCATCCCTGTGACTGTGGCCACACCAACGGATGTGAAAGCAGTCCCCGCCAATCACATCCCGACCTTCTGAAGCTGGTAACAGGCAAGAGAGAGTTTTCAGACCAAAGAATGCGATTAATTCTTACTCCCGCTTAGAGTTCTGTTCAATCAAAGGACGTAAATATACCTTTCCTTCCCCTCAGTGCTTCCACATTTTTCTCAAAAATTAATAATACATGCCCAATACTGTAACCATCAGAGAAATGCAAAATAAAACCATGAGATCTCACCTTATACTCGTCAGAATGATTATGGTACTTGTCAGATGGCTATTATCAAAAGAAACACAAGTAACAAATGTTCGTGGAGATACAGAAAAAAGGGAACTTCAAATACTGGTGCAGCCACTGTGAAAACAGATTTCTCAAAAATCTAAAAACAGAACTATCATATGACCCAGCAATTCCACTCCTGAATATTATATATCCCCCCAGAAAAATACAAACCAGGAACACATATTTGAAAAGATACATGTACCCCAGCATTATTGATAACCACCGAAAATACTTATTCATAATCACCACGATATGGAAGCAGTCCTAGAGCCCATCAACAGATGAATGGATAAAGATAATATATAAGCACAATGGAATATTAGCCACAAAAAGTACAAAATTTGTCATGTTCTACAAACTGGATGGACTTGGAGGGCGTTATGCTAAGTGAAATGAGTGAGACACAGAAAGACATTGTATGATGTCACTTCCAATGTGTGTAATATAAACATAAAGCAAACCGCTCACTAAACAAAAAAGAAGCAGACTCAGATATAGAAAACAAACCAGTGGTTACCAGTGGGAAGAGGATGGGGGAGGGAGAAGGCAGGCGGAGGGGATTAAAAGGTGCAACCTATTAGGAGTAAAATGAATAAACCCCAGGATGTATTGTACAGCACAGAGAATACAGCCAGTATTTCATGGTAACTATACGTGGAGTATAATCTTTGAACACTGTGAATCACTGTGTTGTACATCTGTATCAGCTAATATTTTATGTTGACTATACTTCAATTCTTGAAAATCCAAAAAATTAAGAATTAACACTCATTTGTCCCATATCTCTATAAAGGAATGGGCAGGCAATTATTAGAATCATTGCCTTACTACCTTTAGATTTTATTCATTAAAGCAGAATTCACAAAACACGTCAGTGACACCATGCTGGGCCCGGAGTTTGCATGTGAACAACCCATATCACCGCTCTGTCCTTGGGACGCCCTTCGCCTTTCAGAGCAGATGGAATGTAGCGCAGATAGTCAGGGGAGAGGCAGGGGAAAATGGTGCCTCTGTTGCATACATTGCTATCTACTCTCCTGTGGCAGCAAACACTTGAAGAGGAAATTACTACTACACCGGGCTTCTATTGGAAAGAAATGACTACCAGTTTTCCTCAGTGCTGTGGCCAGTCTGGGCATTGCCACATCACCAGGGTCTCCGTGGGCGTGAGATGCAGGAGTAGACGGTGGGAGGGAGGCAACCGTCCGCCGAGACCTCTTCAGGATTTCACTTCGGGCCGGCCCTGCGGCCTCTTGCTCCAGGTGCACACGCCCTCTAGTCTGAAGCCTCTGCAGACTCTGCCTTCCCCTTGGAACTCCCTGCCCTGGTTCTCCCCCGAGACAGAATCCACGCCTCACCGCTCACACAGCACCCGCTTTGGGACAGCTCCTCGACCAGAGACAGGTGTCCTCTCCCCACTCAGAAGGATGGCGCGTGTGCTCCTCGGGCCAGGCTCCCGCCAGACTGGGTGTCCAGACGTGGTCTGTCCTCTGGGTCCTCAGAACCTGGAAGGGTGAAGAGTCTAATAAACGTGGGGCCATTTTATACAGAAGACAGCTGACATTACTAACATTCTACTTTTATAATGTTAATATTACAAATAGGAGTTTTTGTTTTTATTCTTTTCATGGTTTTTGTTGGTGTTTTTGTTGTTTAGTGGCTAAGTCATGTTCTACCCTTCTATGACCCCATGGAGACTGCAAGGCTCCTCTGTCCACGGGACTCTCCAGGCAAGAATACTGGAGTGGGTTGCCATGCCCTCCTCCAGGGTCTCTTTCAACCCAGGCATCAAACCAGAGCCTTCGTCTCCTGCGTTAGCAGACATGTTCTTTACCACTGAGCCATCTGGGAAGCCCTTCACAGTTTTCAGTTTCTTTTAAAAGCCTTATTTATTTTTAGTGAAGTGTAACTGACATACAACATTATATTAGTTTCAGGTGTATAGTGCAATGATTTGATATTTGTCTATATTGTGAAATGGTCAGCACAGTATGTCTAGTTATCATCATCACCATCCATAATTACAAAGTTTGTTATCATGTGATGAGGAAGTTTAAGATCTACTGTCTCAGCAACTTTCAAGTATGCAACACAGTATTACTAACTGCAGTCACATGCTGTGCAGTGCATCCCAGGACTTGGTTATCTTATAACTGCAAGTGTATCCCTTCCGACCCCCTCCATGCGTTCCCTGTGGCCCACCTCCCTCCCAACCTCTGGCAAGCACCAGGCTTGTCCACTCTGTGGACAAACAGGCGTGGTTAGAGGGCAGAGCCTGAGTCTGATTCTTCTTACCTCTCTGTGCCCACACAGAGCCTGCTGGCAACACTGGTCACATATTCTTGGTTGAAGGGAGGGACAAGGGGCCGTGTGGATGGTGTGGTGAAATGCCACTCATCACCGCATACCACAAAGGGGAGGAGGAAGCCACGGGCGTTGCGGACCCCAAGCTTGTCTCTGTGTAGATGCAGGTCCCACGAGGTGACAGAGTGTGTGGAACCGTCCATCAGAGCTGGCCAGGGTGAACAGAGAAATTCTCTCTCGTGAGGCCCCACAGACATTCAGCCATTTATTCAACAAATATCTACTGGGTCATGACTTCTAATCCGAAACTCACGAGACCGCGTGTTTCAGAACTCAGGTCTCTTTCAGATTCCAGAAGGATAATGTACCGTAGAGCAGGTAAAGTGTGGTCCAGGGCTACACTCTGGAATACAGCACATTCATATTCTTCAGAGAAGTGCATTTACATTTACACCATTTATCAATGAACTGAACCTAACACAGGCTCATGCAGCTCAGGTCAGGTTTTTACTCTGAATGAGTTCAGGTCAGAACAAACTTTGCTGCCGACATGATTATTAATACAAAAACTTCCCCTTTTCAGTGCTGTTTGGGTTTTGGAATTGTGAGTGAGGGGCAGAAGAACTACATATGTCCACGTATCTCTAAAAGAAACTTTCTCCAGAAGAAGAAATTTAGAAAAGTACCCAACATATATATACTCTACCGGTGATTCCCAATGTGGTTTTGCCAAACAGAAGTCATCTCAAAGAATCTTATTAAAATTGGAAGAAGAAATGAATGTAAATGTGCTTTTTATTAAAAGATAAGCTTTGATATCACACGTATGAGGGTCTTAACCAATGGTAAAGTCAACCTGTTAAGCAGGTTGGGGGTTTCTAAATCCCAGACAGCTGTCCCTTGCCATCTTAGCCGTGGGAGAGTTGGTGGGGGTCAGAGGCCTGAAGGAGCATGAAGAAGTGGCTAGGGGGTCAGAGACCGCCCTGCCCCAGGGTCTGGTCATTTCTCCTGTGTTTAACCCTGGACCTTCCTGGGTCTGTGCAGAATGCATTTTCTGCCCCACCTCCACCCGAAGTGACACCAAGAGCTCTGCCCTGAATGATGGTGCAGAACCAACCCCTCCACAGCAGGGCAGCCATGTGGTTTGTCCAGATGGTGTCTTCTGTTGAGTCCCCCTGTCCCCCCGCCCCATGAAAGCTGCTGGGAAGAACACACAGTATTCTCTTGGTTGGTCTGGCTCCTGAGCATCTTTAAGGAGCTCGCCTCCACCCCCACCTTCCCCTGCTTCTATGGGAAAAGTGAGATTCGTCAGAGCCTGCCAGGGCATCCTGCTGGAGGTTACAGAGAGGAGTCTGGAACCCAGGAGGCCTGGGCCCTGCTGGGATGGGGTGTGTGGGGCCCTGTGCCTGGGGCCTGGTGCCCCCCACCCCCCGTGCCTGCCCCAACTCCGACGAGCCGGCCTCAGGCTCCTTTGCCTCGAGTCTCTGAGCTGACCACTGTGGACTCACTGACAAAGACGCCTTCAGGCGTGACCTGGAGAAAACCTCGGGTCTTTGCCCTGTCCTGGGCGCACACAGTGGTCAGCCTCCCTGCAGAGCTTCCTCATGGGACCACACACGGCTGGGCCCCTCACTCTGCTCTTGTGGGGTGACACTCATTGCTTCTGTGTGTGGGGGGCTTACCCAGGACAAGGGGGTGAGGAGGACCCTCCCCCACACTCGCTGTTACAAGTGAGAGAGGAGCCCCCAGCTTTGTCTAGATGCTCAGACATGGAGGCCCTGGACACAGTCCGTCTCCTGAACCTTCTACCTCCTCGTCACTTCTGATGGTGGGAATGAGGCTCACTGTGGGGAGAAGGAAGGGGTCGTCTGGATTGACGGCATTGGGGCAGGGGAAACAGACAGTTTAAGCATTGTCTCCAGGGAGAGGATGAAGAACCTGACCCTCACATGAAGGGATGTTAGCGTCAAAGAGGAGGAGGATGACCTGCACTGGGCTGGTGGAGCAGAGGACACTGAAGATGCTCATGCGTGTGAGGTCACCCCCCAGCACCGTCTCTGTTGTCCTGGCAGAAGCCGGCTGCAGGAGCAAAGCTTGGTGTCCCGCCCTTTCCCAGATGTTATTGACAGGTATTACACCTGAACCCCGTGACTCTCAGGCCTCTCAGCAGCAGAGATGTTCCCCAAACTCCTCTACATGGATGCTTCATCTTGCCCTCACTAAGAAGGGTCTCCATGTTCACAGGTGAAGTGGTGGACACTCGGGGTCAGTCACCTGCCTGGTGTCTCACAGCTGACCCACGACACGACCAGAAGCTGACTCTGATCAGTTGGACGGTGGAGCCCCTGCTTCATACTGCGGGACAAGCTGTCTGGTGTGAAGTTTGGGAGAAGGTCAGATCACAGAGTGCCATCCCCGTCATCCAAAAGGCTGACCCTCACCTGGCCGAGTCGGAGCCCAGCACGCTGGGCTTTGAAGAACACGGACGAAGCTGTGAGGTAGCTGGAATAAGAAATAGGAGTCCAGGACGGCGGTGGCTAAAAGACGAGGGAGGGAAAAGCCTGCAAAAGTAGAATAAAGGAAGGTCCGAGGACCGGAGTGAGAACCTCAGGGAAAACAAACAGCCCTCCTGGCTAGCCCAGTTCACACAGGGCAGGCTCAGGGGGAGGAGAAAAAGCATATTAAAAGAGCAGTCAAAATTGGGCTGGAGGCCTCTCTCCTCTTCTTCTTCTCTTCATCTTTTGGGTTGGCATGCCCTCATGCCTCAAGGGAGAAGGACATGGCAACCCACTCCAGTATTCTTGCCTAGACAATATCGTGGACAGAGGAGCCTGGTGGGCTGCTATCCATAGCGTCGCACAGAGTCGGACATGACTGAAGTGACTTAGCCTGCATGCATGCGTTGGAGAAGGAAATGGATACCCACTCCTGTATTCTTGTCTGGAGAATCCCAGGGACAGAGGAGCCTGGTGGGCTGCCGTCTGTGGGGTCGCACAGAGTCAGACACGACTGAAGTGACTTAGCAACAGCAGCATGCCTCAAGGATCTATTTTCCTTTACTTTCTAAATAAAACTGAGCTGTAACACTGGTCCATCCAAGGGCTGTAATGCTAATCTGTCCTTTTCTTCAAATTTTTGTTGCGACAAGACAGAACCGAGGAAATTACAAACTCCCCCAACAAGATAAAACATAAAACAATGATATAAGGATCATGTTTTAAACTTCACAGCCAGTTAGCAAAGTCAGCTAAATCTTGCACATTATAAAATGCATTTTCTCACCTAAGAACAAAGATATAAGCAGTTGTTTTGGTGATGCTCTGTTCCCTGTGGCAATTGTGGAGTCATAATACATGGTTAAGCCCATCACCAGTAAAGAAATGGAGGTGGCCCTCCCCTCTTCTCAATAAGTTCTGGAGGATTCCTTGTGGCCAGCATCTTTCTCACTTGTGTTAGTTCTGTGAGAATGCTCAAAATCAGCTAGCCACTCCTCTAGCTGTTTAAAGACGTAGGACACTGACCAAAAGACCGTGACGCCTTCCTCATGCTCTGCCCACCATTGTCTTGCTGTTCTTGGTTTAATTCATCAAAGTGTTCTGGCGGCATAGACAGTGTTTCCGAATCTAACTACTCTGAAGGCAGTTTATGCAGGTTCAAACCTGGCTTTACTCCCAGTGTGCATCAGAAGGCTATTTAACTTATCTTCGCTTCCGTTATTTGTTTAATCTGTAATGGGTGAGTGACACCAACTCTGCTGGCGCTGTTAGGAGAATGAGGTGGGATGATGAGCATCAGTTGCACAGAAGAGCATCAGGCCTGTCTATGGCAACTGCCAGCTGTCATTCCTATAAAAGCCATGTGTGCATCCTCACACACGCAGGCAGGTTTAGTGCCTTCACTCGAGAGAAGTCCAAGTACTGTTTATGATGCCAGGCTTTGTTAATGGTGACTCTGCAGTGCAGCGCTTTCATCATCTCCCACTCCAGTTACTTGACATACGTGTCGGCCAGAGTAAAAATACACACACACGTTCGCACTTGCACACACACAAACACACACACATATGGACTCACAGTACCTTTCTTCACCATGGGAGTGCCTTAGCCTGAATGTCTTCTCAAAATCCATATGTTCCGTACATTGTGTGTGTGCTCAGTCACGTCCAACGCTTTGCAACCCCGTAGACTGTAGCCTGCCAGGCTCCTCAGTTCACAGGATTTCCCAGAAAAGAACACTGGAGTGGGTTGTCATTTCTTCCTCCAGGAGATCTTTCCAGCCCAGGGGTTGAACCCGCGCCTCCTGGGTCTCCTGTGTCAGCAGACAAGTTGTGTACCCCCAAGCCACCTGGCGTGCCCTTGGCCAGCAGTCAGTCCTGCATAATATCATGGACATGGAATAGGTTTTCTGGCCCTGCACTTATTCCATTCTTCTGGTTCATCTTTACCTTTGCTGTAATTGTTTTTAGAAACTGCTAACTTTTAATTTTTTATTTTTATACAAGTTTAAAAGTTACTTTCCATTTACAGCCATTACAAAATGTTGGCTATATTCCCCATCCTTGAGCCCATCTTACACCCAGCAGTCTGTGCCTCTCACTCTTCCGTCCCTGTATTGCCTGCCAACTGATAACCACTAGTTTGTCCTCTGCTTCTTTTTTGTTACATTCACCAACTTGTTGTGTTTTCAGATTCCACATGCAAGTGATATATAATATTTGTCTCTCTCTCTTTAACTTGCTTAACATGATCATCTCCAGGCCCACCTGTGTTTCTGTAAATGGCACTATTTCATTCCTTTTATGGCTGAGTAATGTTTCTTCGTGTATGTGTGAGTGTGTATAAGCACACACATCACGTCCTCTCTGTCCACTCCTCTGACAGACGTCTAGGTTGTTCCTATGTCTTGGCTGTTGTGAATAGTGCTGCTGTGAACAGTGGGATGCGTGTATCTTTCTGAGTTAGTTTTTGTCTTTTGGGGATATATATCCAGGAGTAAAATTGCTGATCATATGGTAGGTCTGTTTTTATTTTTTTGAGAAACCTCCACACTGTTCTCCATAGTAAAAGCACCAATTTATATTCCCACCAAGTGTACTGGGGTTTCCTTTTCTCCACACCCTCTCCAGCATTTGTTATTTGTAGACTTTTTGATGACACTTATAACTGTTAGTTATGACACGTTTATGTTATGCTTACTGCTCTTTCTCTTTAATGTTTCGAAAAATAAATCTGTTCTTGGCTTAAACTGGAGAGAGATAATGAATTTTCTGTAATAGCTGCAATTTCTAAAATACATTTGAGCATATAATATGGAACAATTAAATTATCATAAATGTCTGTGCAAATAACATTTTCCCAAGGTCAATTTAAGTATATAATGCAGTGGAAATTAAGAGGTTTGCTAATTGTCCAAATTATTGTTTAGTTGTTCAATTCAAGTGGCATCTTCTTTTTCTCAATTCATGAAAAGCCTTTTGTTTTTAGCATTTTCTCTTTGATCAAGATTTCTTGCCATTTCCCTTGTTTTCATCTTGTAAATTATTCTTTGCCAGAATCATTCAATCTGTTTTCAGACCACAGATTATATAATAGCAAAAAATATATTTCAGATAAGAATCTATTAATATTACATCAGAGAACAAGAACCAGCTTTTCTTCTGTATGTCTTTCGAACTTTCAAGGAATGCTGAAGACTATCTGTCAAATCAAAATGTTTGACATCTCTGCTCCTTAGAATCAGTCTTAAAATGAGCCTTAAGTCTGCGGGCTGCAGAAACATCTCTGCATGTCTTTTCCTCCGAAGCCTTTGGAACCACACAAGCCCCTGTTCCTGAGTGGGAGAGTGGCAGCAGGCTGGCTGGAAGAGCTCGTCTCAGCTAACCTGACAAACGCAGTGCCGTGTTGCTCTCGGGGGTCTGCCGGCTTAAGAAACCGGAGCACCCAGACACCTGGACACATGACAGTCATCTCAGAAAAAGAAATGCGTGGTCAGTGTGGGGTTTATCAGATGCTGGATTTGGATTCTGTTTTAAGCTTTCATCCCATAAAGAGAAAGCTTTAACACTGAAGATTTAACTGTCCATTAACACACTCCCTTTCTCCCCAAACATTTTGGAAGATTGCAATACTCATTTAACCCGATGAAGGCATATAAGGGCTTCCTGTGTGCTGGGCTGTGTCCTGAGCATCAGAGCTGTCACTGTGAGCAGATGGAAAGAGTGCCCAGTCCACCTGGGAGGACAGGACGTCAAATAAGCCACAGTGGTGATGCCACCGTGCAACTGCCCGGAAGACCCAGCTCCTAACCCAGGTCTGCCGACCGCCGACTCTCACCCCTCACCCGTGTTATAGGTCAGCTAGTCTGCACAGCATCCCCGTTGCCATTGCCCCCCCCACCCCCAGCATCAGAGACCCACCTTGGTCATTCCTCCCAATTAGGCATCGATCACCAACAGGAATGTTAAATAGTAACAAAGTGTGGAAAAATGGGAGATGCTGAGAAAAAGTTTATACTTACTTTGTGGACCTCTCACTCATTCCCTAAACCTGATGAAAATCATTCTTGAATTACTTGTTATTTTAGGTTATCCATGGCTTTATCCTTTTATTTTGTTGTAAACAATTAAAATTTTTAGATTCAATTTAAAATTTTTATTGGGTCAATTTTTTAGATTCCATGTGGAAGTGGTATCATGTGGTAATCTGTCTCCCTTTCTGGCTTATGGCACTTACTATGACCATCTCTAGTTGCATCCATGTTGCTGTAAATGGCATCATTTCATTCTTTTTATGGTTGAGTAATATTCAGAGTACATCATGCGACATGCCAGGCTGGATGAAGCACAAACTGGAATCAAGATTGCTGGGAGAAATATCAATAACCTCAGATATACAGATGATACCACCCTTATGGCAGAAAGTGAAGAACTAAAGAGCCTCTTGATGAAAGTGAAAGAGGAGAGTGAAAAAGTTGGCTTAAAACTCAACATTCAGAAAACTAAGATCATGCCATCCGATCCCATCACTTCATGGCAAATGGTGACAGACTTTATTTTCTTGGGCTCCAAAATCACTGCAGATTGTGACTGCAACCATGAAATTAAAAGACGCTTGCTTCTTGGAAGAAAAGTTATAACCAACCTGGACAGCATATTAAAAAGCAGAGACAGTATTGTGCCAACAAAGGTCCGTCTAGTCAAGGCTATGGTTTTTCCAGTGGTCATGCATGGATGTGAAAGTTGGACTATAAAGAAAGCTGAACGCCAAAGAATTGATGCTTTTGAACTGTGGTGTTGGAGAAGACTCTTGAGAGTCCCTTGGACTGCAAGGAGATCCAACCAGTCCATCCTAAAGGAGATCAGTCCTGGGTATTCATTGGAAGGACTGATGTTGAAGCTGAAGCTCCAATACTTTGGCCACCTCATGCAAAGAGTTGACTCATTGGGAAAGACCCTGATGCTGGGAAAGATTGAAGGCAGGAGGAGAAGGTGACGACAGAG